GGGGGTGTCAGGCGGGTGTGGTCCTCGCGTGCACTCGAGGGTCAACACCCTCAGGGTGTCCTTGGGGGTGGGGTGGCTGGGAGGGGAGGCACGCTCGCGCACGCCGATGGCGCTCGGGGCTGTGCAGCGCCGATGAGCCGCGGGTGGCTGATCGGAGCCCCGGATAACGCTCGTTCGATCATACAACTCAGGAAAACGAGGCAACCGCGGAAGCAATCGTGCGAATCGCACGGGGGTTTGGGGCAAGGGAGGGTCTCGGAGTAGCGGACGAGCACGTACCGACTCTCTTCTGCCTCCTCATGGTACTCATGGTGAGGGGGCGGTCGGGTCGCGGCGCGGTGCTCAAGCACGGCGCTCAGCACAGCAGCACCCGGTTGCACCCGCTCACACCCAGGACGTGGTGGGACCCGGCGAGACCAGAGGACGCGCCGCCACCGGGACGGGGATCATCGCACCGGAGACTGAGCGCGCAAGAAGCCTCACCGGCCACCTGTCCTAACGTCGCCGTCCTTGTCGCGCCAAGGCGCCCGGGCGACGCCGTGCGGCCGCGTGCGGGGGCGGCGCAGATAGTGCGCCAGGCTCGCCGCAGTCTTATCTCTGGGACGGGACGGTCTTCATGCGGCGGGGCGAGGCGGGGCGAGGCGAGGCTGCTGATACAGAGGGCTCTGCAGAAAGTCATTGGATGCGAGGAGGCAAGTTCCAGCCGCGAGCCGCAGAGATTCAAACACCGGGTGTCTCCTGGCGCAGCAGTTTTGTTTTTAAAAAAACGAAATTTATGCATTATTCGTCGCTCCCTCCGCTGCTGACGCAATAACGCGATACTGACGGCCCGGCGCCCGGCCTGGCCGCCGCATGTAAATAACTGGGCCAGCGCGTGAATCACACACTCAGTGGCGCGGCGTGGCGGGGCGTGTTGGCGTGACCACGCGCATGGCCCGCTCACCCCCCCCCGGGCCCCCGCACCTGCGCGTCACGGCGCGGCGCGGCGAGCCGCGGGTGCATTGAACCGTGCAGGACCCTGCCGAGTGGACTTTGCCGAGTGGACCCGCCGAGTGCGGGAGCCCGTGGAGGGCCACGCGGGTCACCATGGCGACGCGCGGCCAAACACTGGAGTCCAGTGACTGGACAGGGCCG